GGGGGGGGGGTTTCCAGCTCCTGGGAAGCTTTCCGGGTGGGGAGGGTTCTGGAAGGAATGGGACTCTTCAGCTGGGCTGCTGTCTGTCTGTCTGCATCTGTTGTCCCTGGGTGTCCCCAGGTCCTTAACTGGCCTCTCCCTGGGGGTCCGTGAGTCCATCCACCTAGATGTTTGAATTTTTCTTTGTCACTTTGGGTCTCATTCACTCGTGCGCACGTGGTCATCGGGCACATGCTAGGCCCTCTGTAGCACTGGACACAGAGACCTATGTCTGACCTGGTTGAGTCTTGGCCATTTCTGTCTCATTTGCTCCATTCCTTTAGCCACTGTTGAAACTTTCCACCTGTTCCTATTCAAATGAAATCCAAAGTCATTATCAGAGCCACTGCTCCTGTAGTTCCCCCATGATCCCTCTGATTTCATTTCCTATGACTTTCCCCCATGCAGTAGATGCTCTGGCCATCTGACCGCTTCCAGGATAAACTACCTCAGAGCCTTTGCGTGCACTATCCAGGGAGATTTCCCACCTGGCTTGATCCTCCTGTTCTTAGAGTCATCCCCCTTCACTACATTCCTCCTACAACAGCCCTCTGCCACTCTTCATCTCCTTTCCCTGGTTTCTCTTCTTATAACTTACTGCTCCATGGCTGATATATTTCATAGGCCTGTCTGTGTCTTCCACCTGAACACCAGCTCCGTGAGAACAGGGGCTGCCTTCTCTCCCCGCTGTGCCCAGATCACCTGCTCCAGGCTTGTCTGGCCGTGAATGAGAGGGAGAGAAGCACATTCATCAGTGCATTCAGCTCCCTAGCCCTGTGCTGGGTGATGCTGGGGACACGGCCCTAACCCTGCCCTCAGGGGGCTTCCAGTCCAGCTGTCAGACAATGATGAGCAGAATGAGCAGGGCCAGGGCCTGAAAGCAGAGGGGGCTGTAGGAACCCAGAAATGGCACCTAATGGAGTCAGAGAGGGCAACCTGGAGGTGTCAGCTGAGGATGGGGATAGGGAAAAATGAGCTAGGCCTCTTTCTGATCTCTGGGAACCAAATGACCAGAGCAGGGCCAGTCTCATCTTCCTCCCAGAGCTCCCATGGTCTCCGTCTGTCAGAGAACTTTAGGGGTTGAGATGTCTTGACTCAGTTCCAATCGAGGCCCTGCCCTGGTTTCAGTCTCCCATTTGCGGGTTTTTTTTTTTTTTTTGCAGCTCTGGGGATGGAACCCAGGGCCTGCATGATGTCAGGCAAGTGCTCTACCACTGAGCCATACCCCAGCTCCCCTCTGCTCTCTCTACGTCGCCCCTTTCTTCAAGATCTCTGTTCTTGGCACCTCATCTCTGTATTGGTCTCTCTCACCCCTGGACAGTTCTCCATTCAGTTCACTTATAAGCATCTGTCTCTCCCTCTGTTTCTGCCTCATGTCCCACATCTCTGAGGCTCTCTCCCATTTCTCCCTCTCTGGATCTCTGGCTCCTGTGCCTCCTTATCTCTTTCAGGGAATTGGTCTCTTTGTGTCTTTGCCTGGGTCTCTCTCTGCATCTCCCTGTGTCTCTTCACCTACTCACTGATTCCCAAATTAATCCAGAACCCCAGCACCCTGGCCCCACCCCAGCATTGGGGGAAGGGGACTGACCCAGCCCCCACACCACAGGTCAGGCCGCCTGCTCAGTTAATGGTTAACCCAGCCTCTATCTAGAATACACACCAGCTAGGCTGGGGGTGACTCCCCTGCCCCCCACCCACCTACCAGCTGCTCTTAAAGGACCAGGTGTCCTCCACTCCACAGCTCTGCAGCCCCCTACTGGGGCAAGAGGTCCAGATGTCTGGAGGCCTGCAGTCCTGAGATCTGGGGGAGGAGGCCACCCTGGCTTGGATCTGCAGAGCTGGGTCAGGGAGGCCACAGACCTGCCAGGAGGGAGCCAGGTCTGGAGCTCCCTCCAGCATCTCCCTTGCTTATCACCTAGCATATTTAATCAGGGGTGGTTTTCTCAGCCCTGCCCAGAGCCCAGACTGGCAGTGCCAGCGGTGGCAGAGCACCTGAAAGCTGATGAATGGGGGGATGGGTCCTCCAGATGTGGGTCCTTAGTATTTAGGAGTTAGGACTTTGGGTCTGCAGGTGTGGGTGGGACCCCTGTGATCCCAAAGGGTAGGTCAGGATATTAGGGTTCTTGGGATTTAGGTGATGAAACACCTGGGGACCCGTGGGTCTCAGAGCCGTCTGAGCACAGTGCAGTTGGAAGGGTGCGATCATTCTCCACCTCTGTCCGCCCATCCGCTGGCCTTTTTGGCCCAGTATTCACCTTTCCCGGAACCGAAAGGTCGTGTAAGAGTGGGGGACGCCTGGCTCCCGGGGCCGCCCTCTCGTTTTAACCCCTACTTTGCCGCAGCACGCTTAGGCCCCGCCCCGTGACGCCAACAAGCAGGAAGTCCTGGTTAATGATCAGTCACCAGGACAGGTGCGGGACAAGGCCGCGAACTTCACAGGCAGCCGCAGCATGTGTGTGTGTGTGTGTGGGGGGGGTATGTCTTTTACCCTGTTTGTGACAGTGTTCTAGGGTGGCCTCCCAGAGATGAGGACCCCAGTTCAGGTTTCCCAAACATTTGCCTCCCGGTACCAACTGGGGCAAGCAAGCAGTCACCTAGTTCAAGGTATCTGTTTACTTTCCTCTTCTCTGGCAGTCCCGCTATCAGTCTGGCATCAATTCTCTTAGCAGCTCGTTCCCTCCAAGAAGCCTCCCGCTGCCTGCCCCCCAACCTTCGAGGACGCCACATTCTGGGTAGATTATGTAGGCCGGCTACGGAAGGCTAACCTGTTACAAGCTTGTCTGTGGTTCCCATGAAAAGGCCACCCCATCTGAACCTCAGTTCTGTCACCTGGAAAACGGACCAATGGCTACAATTTTTGACCAGTGTTAAAACAGCAATTATAATACTAGCGGCCCGCCTGGGCGAAGGGCGCCACCTGGAGGTTACAACGCAACGTCCTCTCCCTTGCAGGAACAGTTTAGTCCCAGAGGGGGCGCAGCATCCCACACAACTGAGGGACCAAGAAAGGAAGGAAGGGAAAAAAAAAAAAAAAAAAAAAAACATCTTTCGGTTTATTGAAGGAGGTACAGGGTGGGAGAGGGGGGCAATAAAATGCTTTTGCTTCGTTTATAAAGAGCGAGTGTTCAGGGGGCCCCTTCTCCAGGAGCGGACACCTCTCCCCAACTACAAGCAGCAGCAAAGCCAAGCCAAGGAGGGGAGAGGGAAATTGGAGGGGCCACGGAACCCCAAACACCCCCTCTGACAGGAGCCACAAGCTTTGTCCCCCCACCCACAATGCATCTACCCCAGGGGACCCATCTGGGCAGAGGAAGGGGGTATGTACACAGGTGGGGACGGCACGGGGTGGGTGAGGGAGGGAATAATTTATCCGCAGTTGCGGTGGGTGGCAAGGGGGGAGGAAGCAGTAGCCTGGTGGCAGTGGTGGCCTAGGGGTCCCGTTCCTTCTTGACCTTGATGTCACCAGCAAGAATGGTGGCGATCTCGCCCTGCATGAAGGCCCAGGGGACGGAGGAGCCCACCAGCGGGCACTTGTCTCCACTGGGGCAGTACACCTCCCCAGCCGGGCCCTGCGCCTTGATGAACTCCCGCGAGCAGGGAAAGCAGAACTTGTGTCCGGGCACCGAGGGGCACTGGACAAAGTGGGTGTCTTCCAGGCGCTCTCGGCACAGGGTACAGCAAAGGGGAGCTCCAGGGGTCGCCCCTGTGCCACTACCACCCCCGCTGACAGCTTCGGCCCCCGCTGTGGGACTGACTTCTGCTTCACCGTTGCGGGCCACTAGGCGATGCTGGGTCGGTGGCTGGGTGGTGGAGGAGGCTGCGGGGCTAGCACCCCCTGCACGCACAGGGCCTCCACCGCCACCAGGGTCCTTGGGAGAGTGACCCAGGGCCTCCGCCACATTCTTCAGGGCGGCAATGGGTGAGGGCACACCAGGGGTCTCAGCAGAATATGGCCCGCCAGGTGCCACCCAGTGCCGCTGCTGCTGCTCCTCTGTTGTCATCTTCCCAGCCGCCTCGCCCTCGGGCTCAGGGGAGGCCTTGCGGCGGCGCGGCGTGGGTGCCAGGTTCCGGGATGGGGCTCGTGGAGGTGGGCCACACAGAGCTGCAGGGGCCGGCTCTGGGTACTGCTGGGGCAGGGCCTCGGCAGGAGCGGGCTCTCGAAAACTGCGGACACCATCAGTGAGCAGCTCGCCCAGCTGGCGCCATTCGCCCGAGCCATGACGGCGTTCATACTCGAGGTACTTGAAGCCCGAGGAGGCCAGGGCCTTGCCAGGCTCCCGCAGAGCATCGTGAAACATCTGGCGAGCCACGGCCAGGACCCCCGCGTACACATTGCCAGAACCACAGGGGTATTCGGTGAAGAGCTTCAGCTCGAACTCGTATCCCGGAGGGCGGGCAGTAGCATCGAAGGCGAACACCCGCCCCACCAAACCGTGATCCTTCTTGAAGCGGACATTGAAGGGGGCGCAGGCAGACAGCGCCAGTAGCTGTTCCCGCACAGCTTTGGGACGCCCGTGCCACTCCTCCGCACGGCCCCGCATAGCCTCATTCAGTTCTGCCAGACAGTCTGCATTCCTCTGCTGCTTCTCCTTCTCGAAATCGGAGCCGAAAAGTGGACGGGCAGGACTCAAGCCGGGCGCCAGCGTCAGGCCTCGGCCTCCCAGGCCAGACACCGCAGCTGCCAGCAGCCCGGGGGGCATCAAGCTGGGCATAGTGCCAAGCAAGGCCCTGCGCGCCCCTTCCGCCACAGCCTCCTCTCGGCCCAGCCCATTGGCCAGGCGGGACCCTAGGGTGTACTCCAGGGCTGGCGAGGGCAGCGGGAGGCGGCCAGACGATGTGGCTCTGTCATAGCGGTCCGGGCCGGAGACGCCGCTGCCGGTCCCCGACGGCTGGGGCTGGGCCTGCGGAGGCGGTAGCTGGGGACCCTGCGCGGCGGCCACGGCCAGGTCCTTGGTGGTTGGGTGCTTGAGCGCTGGGGGCCCGGGCGAGCGGCCCTCCGGGAGCACGTGGCTGCGCTTGAGCTGGCGAGCGGCGTCGATGAGCAGCTCGATGCGGTCCGCGCCCTCGAAATTCACGCAGCCGCGGCACACCGCCTCGCTGAAGTCCCACACCATGGCCCACGGCATCTTGGGCAGGTCGCACAGGTAGCACCACTGGCGGCGGGACGCCTGTACTGACGCCATGGTCCCCGCGCGCGCGCCGCCAGGTCCCCGCCTTCCACCCGCCGCCGACGTTCGATCCGCGCAGCCAACGCTCGATCCGAGCTCCCGGGACAGCGCGAGCCACAGTCCGGCCTCCGGCTCGGCCTCCCCGCCGGATCCAGGCCCGGCCCCCCTTCCCCGCCCCCTGGGCCCTAAGCCTTTTTCCTCACTCCCGCCTCCCTTGAAAAGGCAGACAGAGGCTCGTCGGCGCCCCCACTCGGTCCGGGCTGCGAGCTGAGGCGCACAGCTCGCGCCCCGCGATGGGCCGCGGGCGCCGCCGCCTCGGGGTCCCGCCGCTCTCGCCGCCGCCGCTGCTGCAACGGCCGCCGCCGCCTCCACCTCCTCCTTCTGCCCCAGAGGCCGCTTCGCAGGGAAAGTTACATAACGCGAGGGCAAAGCCTTCTGGGAAACGTAGTCCCGCCGGGGCCGTCTCTTAAAGGGGACAGCGGGCAACAGTGGGGGAACGCCGTCTCTCGCCCAACAATCCTCAATACTACTAGCCACTGGGCGGGGAGTTCTGCGCGCTCAGAGGAGAATAGGGTCGTGATGATGTGATACGAATGATCAAAGCTACCACGGATTTAAGAAATTGCCGAAACTGGACAGGCTGCGGGGCAATCCATACCTGCTTTGATTTGCTGTGCACCTTTAGGCCAAAGTCTTGCCCTTGCTGAGCCTCCGTTTCCCCGCCCATTAGAAGAAGGCCAATGACGGATTAAGAAAGCTACAGCTCTTGGGGCGGAGCGAAGAGGTCCTGATTGGATGGTTCAGGGTAGGCATGGGAAGCCGGCCACTGGAGGTTTGTGTGTACTTGGCACTGTGACTTCTCTCAGCATCCTAAATATCAGCCTCTGGGGCGGACCACAGCTAGAGAACGGAAAGGGCTAAGGGCTTTCGAGCATAGAGCCTGCCTCAGTTTTCTGATCTGCTGGAGGGGAGTGACTGAGCGCCTTCTAATTCTGTTCCAACTCTGCCTGATCGCTTTGGTCTCCAAAGGGTTACACTGCCGGCTTCTCTGCTCCACCCCTCCATTTTCACTACTATTCCCAAAATGCTCTGCGGGGCGGCCGAATGACGTACTTCCGCTGTCTGGAAGGTTGGGGGAGGCCTTCGCTATTCTCGCTGACCCCCCCCCCAACATTTTGGGGCTCTTTCCGTGCTTTCGGTGTATGGGGTTTGGGTTACCTTACCCTCTTTTGCAGGCCCTTGTGTCGAGAAGGGGCCAGGAAATGGCGAACAAAAGGAGGTTGCTGCGGGGAGTGCAAGCGCCAGACCACCCTTCCCCAACCTTGAGTGCTTACTACGTGGTGGGCCCAGCCAGGCTTGGACCCCCTGTCCTCTCTCCCAGTCTTGGAAACTGTGGGAAGGCAGACTTTGAGGAGGGGCGATGCGGGTCTCCAGATTCTAACGTATATAAGCTCCTTCCTCTTTCTGGGCTGGGGTCCGTGTTTTGTGTTCAAAAATACGTGGATGACTTGCCAGTCTGCACGCAGAGTGCTTTTCAATCTGGGGAGTCTGCCTTCCTTCCTCTGCTCCCAACCCACTGCGGCTACAGCTGCCCGGATTTTCTGCTATCTGAAGTTGTTTGTTTTACAATTACCTACCAACTCTATTATTATTCCAACACTTTTTCTCCCTTGGAGGGAAAAGATTACCCATTTTTTGCTTCATCCTAAGGAATACTATTCCATAATCACAAGTTTTATGTACTAGCTACGTTTTATTTTTTTGGTGCTAAGGATGCAATCCTTGGCCTCATGCTGAAGCCCTCTATCACTGGGCTACACCCCCAGGCTTTCATCCTCCCTACTTCTTTATTTTATTTTATTTTTTTAAACAGTAAGTTTACTTTTTGTTCCTGCAAACTTCTGGGGGAAGTCCTGGGGACCCCCAGGCAGCTGTCCTGGTATGTGAGGCAGCCATCCACGGTGCTTTTATCTTGTGGCTCTGTCTTTTCAACACAAGACCTTTTGCATATATGCTGATTAAATCTGAAATTTAAAATATTTCTTTGTAGTAGACATTATTCATGAGAAACTCTAGTCAGAAGATCCAGTTCATTTAGAAACCCTCCTGCAAGTTCAAGGGCAGGATGCCAGCAGCACTTAGCTCTGATGAGGCAGACAGCAGCACAGCATTGTGGGCTGTTTTTTAAAAAAAATCAGTTAAAAGTACAGAACCATTAAAAATGGCCATTCATGTCCCCAAACTTACCTTTTTTGGGGGTATTGGAGACTTAACCCAGAGGTGCTTAACTACTGAGAAGCATGCCCAGCTTTTTTTTTTTTTTTTTGGAGACAGGGTCTTGCTAAGTTGCTAGGCTGGTCTCAAACTTGTGATCCTCCTGTCTCAGCCTCCAAGATTGCTGGGATTGGCAGGTAGTCACTATCACACCTAGGTCTCAAATTGCTTTTGTGCTGGGTTTGGTGGTCCACGCCAGTAATCCCAGCAATTTGGGAGACTGAGGCAGGAGGATGAGAAGTCTTGAGGCCAGTCTCAGCAACTTAGCAAGACCCTGTTTCAAAATAAGAAAAAGGACTGGGGATGTAGCTTAGTGTAGAGCATCCCTGGGTTCAATCCTTAGTACTGGCGGGGAAAAGTTGCCTTTGTGCCATTCTTTAAATACTAGTGAGAGCTGGGCAGGTGGTGCACACCTGTAATTTCAGCATCTTGGGAGGCTGAGGCAGGATGACCACAAATTCAAAGCTAGCCTCAGCAACTTAGCAAGGCCCTAAGCAACTTAGCAAAATAAAACATAAAAAAAAAAAAGGACTGAGGATGTGGCTCAGTGGTTAAGAGCCTCTGGGTTCAATCCCTGCATTAAAAAAAAAAAAAAAAAAAAGTACTAGTGGGAGCTGAGTTCTGGCCAGATTCAGGCTTCAGGTGGGACCAACTGGCCTGTGACCAGTTGTGACATTCCACAAACTTCTCAGGGCTGGGAATGGAGATCTTTAGAGTCTGTTCTTCCTTGGGTTCCTTCAGGCTGGAATGCAAGCATACATGTAACTTGGCCTGGGGCCTGGCACAGAGGACTGCCATGTGGCTGGGGCTGTTGCTCATGGTAGAGTGCTGGCCTAGCATGCCCAGATCCTGAGTTCCATCCTCACTATGGCAGAAAAAGGAAAAAAAAGTATCTTAAGTGGAAATTTTTGTTTATAAGCTGTACATTACTTTAAAAAGCAGTATATTACTGCTTTTGTGTGCTAGGCAATATTGGGGATACAGGAGTGATTAGAGTTAGGTTCACACCCTTCCCTGAGGAAGTTCAGTCTGGTGATGGAGAGAGACATTAAATTTAACTGGTGTCAGGAAAACATTTCCTGAGGTAATATTTGAGCTGAGACCTGAAGAATGTATACATCTAATGGTAGAAAGTAAAGACTCTTACATCTTTATGCTCATTTCACAGATGAGGATAATGGAGGCCCCCAGTTAACAGCTGGCCCACCAGGCCTGAGTCCAGTGTAGTGGTTATTATTTACTTTGCTACCAGACCCTGCAGCAGGCAGTACAAGAGAACCTGTTGCAATCTAGGCATGGGGTGCACACCTGCAATCTCAGCGGCTTAGGAGGCTGAGGCAGGAGGATCACAGGTTCAAATCCAGCCTCAGCTACTTAGGGAGGCCCTAAACAACTTGACGAGACCTTATCTCAAAAAATAATAATAATAATAATAAGAGGGCTGGGGATGTGGCTCAGTGGTTAAGTGTCTCTGGGTTCTATCCCCAGCACCTAAACAAAACCCAAATAGCACCCCCCCCAAAAAAAAAAAAAGAAAAGCAAAAAGGAGTTCCTGTCTTCCTCAAATTCTGGGGGCTGTGTGATAAAAAGATAAGGCCTGTGTTCACTTAAGACATATCATGAAATAGAACTGTGAGAATCTAAGAGGCAGACCCATCTCTGCCTTGAGGAGGGAGATCCAGGACGTTCAGGCTGGTACCTGAAGGATGAGGCAGATTTCATTTGAACAGAGAACTTGAAATGGCTTTAAAGGGGTGGGGGGAGGCTGGAAAACGAACCACCCGCCTCCAACTTGGAGGGGGTGTGGCCTGCCCGGGAGGGGGCGGGGCAGCCGGAGGTGTGGGGCTCTCAGGCTTGTCTCAGACACAGCCTCAAGTAATTGTATGAAAAATAAGTTTATTGATATCTTGTCACCACTGAGGAGAAAGGAGGGGGCTAAGCTCCGGAGGTCAGAGAGGCAATGAGAGGTGGAGGACCCAACCCACGCCTCTCAGTCAGAACCCTGCCCTCCTCTCCTTAGGGTACAGATAGTTACATCCTCTTTGTCATCCATATTCTGATTTGTCTAGCAATTTTTACCCCCTCCAAAGTCTGGGTTGGGGAGGCCCCCACGGGTCAATTCTCTTCAAGTTAAGAACAGGAGTTGGTAGGGCTGAGGGGATGTGCAGACCCGAGAGGTTCCCCCCACCCCAACCCACAAAGGGCATTATAATAAATAACATAAAATAGATGGCTTAGAAGTCAGGGCTAGGGGAGGCAGCCAGGCAGACAGCATTGTACCAGAGAAAGGGGCTGGGGAAGCCTCCGAACAGGTCCCCAGAGAATCAGGCACTAACTAGCACAGGGAGTGGGGTGCTCACCCCCGGAGCAGGGAGCCAGGGTGCAGCAGGGAGGGGTCGCAGCATCGCCCCTCTCGCGACTGCGCCAAGCTGGGGGAAGGGGGCGCAGGCAGCAGCGCGGGCAGCGGAGGTTTCAGGGCGATTTCCACCGGCCCCGCCTCTTCCGCGCAGGGAACCCTTTCC